GTCACACACACCCCAGGTTTTTGTGGGACTACAGCTCCCATCATCCCACCATTCAGGCATGGGTCAGTCAGTCGCTGGCTGCCTCCATAATGGATTGTTCTGAAAGTCTGTGCTGCTGAAAGAGTTTGAATAACAGGGAATCTTCATCCAGATCCAGCAGAGATTTTTTGCGCTTCCGGCGCAGCAGGACTTTAAACAGGTTTTCATTTTGTGGGGTTGCTTTAGGTTTTCATCACACAAACATGGGGTGCAGCAGCCCATGAAACTTCATGCTGCACCAGATTTGGAAAGCGGACCACGTTTATTTTTGGTGCCCCAACAAATTGCAAATCCCAGAATTCCATAGCATTGAGCCACGGCAGTTAAAGTGGTGTCAACCTGGATTATTTCTCCAGTACGGATGCAGCCTAAGGAGTTTATCACACGGGGTTATAAAACGGGACAATGCTCCCATTATTATGGTATGATTGCGTGAAGATTTTCACACGATGTTGCGCTCATCCAGTACTTTTCCCATGAATTGTCCCATAACTTCTTACGAATGAGGAAACTCCGTGAATGGTCTGCCAATAGCACTTTGTTTGCACTATTCAAAAGCACGGATGCTAATAACGATGCATTTGCGCTATCGGAAAGTGCTATTGGGGAACTTTTCCCAGACTGCACTTTGGCGCAGGCAATTCGCACTCATTGTTAGGATCATTTTCGGAATAGATTTCTGTCTTATTTTGAGGCATAGGGCACTATTTTATTTGAACTGGATATACACTCGCCCCTCCATTTTCACGGGGGACCCATTCCGGACCCCTGCGTGAAAACAGAAATTCACCAATATTCAAGCCGTGCTTGAATGTCTGTGTGGCCCTGCGCACATCCCTTGCGTGTGCGTCACAGGCGCATGCACCATTTTAGCCAATGGCCTTGCCCCTCTGCGAAGAACCAAGACCATGGACTTCAAATCTATGAAAACGGAGGGGAGAGTGTATATCATGTTGTTAAATATAGACTTTTTACTTTGTTCCATTTGGGATTAGAACCATATTTTTCAGACATGTGCAGTTGCCTGATAATGTTGTATACGCGAAACATCCAATGATGATATACTAATGATAGAGCAACATGATCGACTTTTGTATGTGGAACGTGACTGTGCTTCCCCCCCCCCCCCCCCGCTTTTATTTCTTTGTTATAGCACAACTGCACAACTGTGCGGAACTATAGATCTCTATAGTGCTATGCTTCTGTTATCTTCCATTATCTTCCCTTGCCTTTGGAAACCTGTGCAGGTTAAAATGGAGCAATATCGCCCCCAGGTGGCCAATAAGGAATGGCAACCAGAGCTTTGTTGTCTTGCCAGAGTGCAAGAAAGTTTATGCTGAAATAAATCAATCTCAAAAATGCCATTGCATTCCTTCCTTCTCTTCCTTCCTCCTGTTACTTTACGTGTCTCTCCCTCTCCTTTTATACCTTTGTCAACAGTTTTCAGGGCCAGATATCAAGGTGAGCAAGGAAGGGTGGGGCTCCCAAGTTTTTATATATATATATCAAAAACAGGAACAAAGAGTCACGTCCTCCATTTCATGGCAGTTCCCAGCCTGCTGTCACCTTCCCCCCCCTCAAGTAAGAGAACCTCTCCCAAAAATGTTGGCCAAGCCCCAAGGACAAATCGAGGCCGGGCAAAATGGGGTAATCCCCCAAACCGAGCTTAATCCTGGCATGGTCCCAGTTGAACTTTCCTCTTGGCTTTCAGATCCTCTGAATGTGTTAACTCTGGGTTTAAGGTGAGTTTGAAGATCAGCCTGTGGCCCAGAACTTGAGGAAAGTTACTTTTGCAATTGAAACTTACCACTCCTAGAGAGATCTCAGGTTTGGTTTGCTCTTGGACCCCTTTACTTGAATATGGACAAGCCGAGACACTTTGAGCTCTTTCCTTTTTAATCAATGAACACATTGATTAAATGTGTTCCCATTTAGAGAGGTGTTCCCAGTTTTCTCTGTGCATTTTGCTGGGGGCTCCCCAGTTTTTACTTCCTTGGTTTTGAGAAGGCAATTAACATTGCAAGTGTCTTGTTCTGGAGCTACAGTAGTCCCACCGCATTCGCTGAGGTTAGGGGTGAAGGACCCCAATGAATGTGGGGAAACCACAAATAAAAACAATAAAAAACACTATTCCTTTTACCTGAGAGGACACCTCTCTAGGGATCTCCAGGTCCTCCAGTGCAACTCTGTGGTAAACATCTGGCAGACGATGACCATAGAGTCATGCTGGAGGATCCAGAAATGCCTAGAGAAGTGTTTTCTCTAGGAAATTCTAGGTTCTCCAACACAACTCTATGGTCAAGTTCTGACAGAGTTATGCTGAAGGACCTAGAGATTCCTAGAGAGGACATATTAAAAGACCTTCTGCTGGTAGGGCTGACACCTCAAAATGGAGGGCATTTTGGAATTCCTCCTGGACAGAAAGCTGAAATGTAGGAAGGATCATGGAAAAGGAGGATGCCCTGTCACCCTGGGTCTTGCTCAAAGTGCAGGACATTTTGGAATTCCTCCTGGACAGAAGGCTGAAATGTTGGACAGATCCTTGGAAAGGTGGACATGTCTGGTCACCCAGACATGCTCAACATGGAGGACATTTTGAAATTCTTCCTGAACTGTAGGAGAGGTCCTAGAAAAGGTGGACATGTCTGGTCACCCAGACATGCTCAACATGGGGGGCATTTTGGAATTCCTCCTGGACAGAATCATAGAATCATAGATTCTGTCCAGGAGGAATTCCCAAATGCCCTCCACGTTGAGCACGACCAGCTGACCAGACATGTCCTCCTTTTCCAGGACCTTTCCTACCATGCTAATGCAGTTGGAAAAGGAGGCCATGTCTGTGTTGGTCACCCTGATCCCACACTGGGGAAAGAGATGAAGAAGCAAGCATTGCCCACTCCAGAGGAAGAGGAAGCGGACTTTAAAACCCAGAAGGCTGGCACTGAGCCCTGCCTTTCCCTCTGCGCAGCACCTAGCACTGCAGCGGCAGCCCATCAATGATTGCCAGGCAGGAGGTGAGCAATAACAACCCAGGCCCTGGGAAGGGTGTGATGCCCGTAGGCAGAAAGCAAGCCTGTTTGGGGCACGCAGCAGCCTGCCCGAATCCTCCTCTCTCTTCCCTCCACCTCCTTCCTTGTGTGTTTGTGGCCATTGCACAGCAGACAGTGTGGTCACACTTGTCAAGGCTCTCTGGGGCTGCTGGGCTGTTTCCTTTGCAGCTCGATTCGCCCTCCCCATGGCTCGCTTTTCTACCTTTCTCTTCCTCCATCCCCTCCCTGTCGCTTGACTGGCATAATGCCCTGCCTTGCCCTCTCAAGCTGGCAGCACCTGGGTTAGGCCTCACCTGGGGCTCTGCCCGCCCTTCTAGCCAGCCATGGCAACCCGACCGGGGAACGTCCGGACCCCTCGGTGGGTCTCGGCCCCTCGCTCGATGGAGAAAGCCCTCCAGGGTTTGGCCAAGTTGCAACAGCTGGTGAGCCAGCCTCGCCTGGGCCTGAGGAACAGCCCGCCACACCTGCCTTACCTGGTGCCCCAGACCTACCAGCACCTGCGGCTTATTCAAGAGCGACACGGGGCCGGTTTGGCCCAAATCGGGGAAGGAGGCTATTTGCCGGTCTTCCTCGCCAACCTGCAGGAGAAGATTAAGAAAACCACCCGGCTCTTCAGGAGGGAGAAGGAGGAGATCTTCAAAGAAGGTTCCACTGCCAGGTAAAAACAAAATTGGATAGGGGAAAGGGGGTTACCTACCAAAGGGGAGGATGCAAAGGTCCAGTGGTTCCCAAACTTTGGTCTTTCAACTGTCAGGAATACTGGGAGCTGAAGTCCAAAACACCTGGAGGACCAAAGTTTGGGCATCACTAGGTTAGACTCTTCCTGGTTCCTTGGTATTTGCTGGGGTTTAGCTTTTGCAGTGAGTTCTGGTCTGATCTAGATGACCCTTGGGGGTATCTTCCATTTCGATGGGTCTGTTCGATGGTCCCTATGGGGTTTGGTTTGTATTTGCTGTAATTTTAAGTGTTGTAAGCTGCCCCGATTGTTTTAACAGAAGGGTGGGGTATTAATAATAATAATAATAATAATAATAATAATAATAATAATAATAATAATAATAACTATTATTATTATTATTATTATTATTATTATTATTATTATTATTATTATTATTATTATTATTATTATCTGAGCCCCAGTTTCTTAAATTTCAGAAAAGCTCTTGCAGCAATTTTTCAAAGCTAACCTTTTGAATTATTTTTGGTATATAGTGGGGACCCTTGGTATCCGCTGGGGTTTGGTACCAGGACCCTTGTGGATACCAAAATCGGTGGATGTGGATCCGTGGATAAGTCCCATTAAATGCAGTGGCGTAATTAAATGTTGTTCCTTGTATAAAATGGCAAAATAAAGGTTTGCTTTAACATATTTTCAAGTCTCGGATGGTTGAATCCGTAGATACAGAATCCATGGATATGGAGGGCCAACTGTATCTGCAAAATAAGGGGTCTTTCCATCTCCAGCTAATGCAAAGCTACATATGTTAGGTTTCAGCCTCCGATGCAGCCATTAGAGGCACAAAAGACCAGCTAGATACCTTTTTTTCTTTTCTCTTTTGTATTCCTTCCTTCCTTTGCAAAATAAACAAATGCTTTACCATGTTCTGGAGCCAAACAACTGCATTATCCCAGTAATTTTCATTATCCTTCCCATCACCAGAAAGTATTTGAATTAAAACAGTGAAGGCGGGGAGAAATTCCTTAAAACTCTTATCAAAGCT